TCCCAAACGTGTGCGCAACGAGTTGATAAAATAAATTTTTTTTTACTATTCTTGACTAAATTTATTTTCATCAATAAATTTTAAATTTTATTGATTTTAAATTTTATAAATTTTATAGATTCTTTTAGCGTTAAAAAACTAAGACCATTTAAGTTTTATAATCTCCTAAAATTAAAGGAGATTCAAACTGTATGCTAATATAACATGTGCTTAAACTGTATGCTCATGTAATTATGCAGATGATACGACTTTGTGTTACAATCATTGTGTCACAAGTTATTATTTTACACTTCTAAAACACATTAAAATCTAGAATGGCCAAAACTTTTGGTATTATGAAAGTGTTTTTATAATTACTTATTACTAAATATGTTTCTTTTATACGTAAACAAAAATACTTTCTTTGTTTACGTATAAAATCTAATACAATCTCTTCATCTTCAAAACAATATAATCTCTTCACCTTTAAAATATCAAAATTTTTTCATCTTCAAAAAATACAATCTCTTCATCTTCAAAGCAATAAAATCTCTTCATCTCTTGAAGTATTAAAACAAAATAAAGCTATGTTCAAACAAAGTATTTTATATTAATATACAGGTTGTATATATATTATTTTCTGGTTGTATATAAAATATTAACCATACACATGGATAATATATATAAGTCATATCAAGTCACTAATTTCTCTTAGTTGTGACAAATTAGTGATCTATTGTTTATTCAAATTAGTGACTTAGTGGTTACGCTAAATAAAATTATAAACAACACTTTTAAACATTTAGTATATATGTATTATAAAAGCAATAAAGAAACTATTTTTAAAACACAAAACATAAATAGAAAGAGTTTCTTTGCTATCCAGTTCAATCTTTTTTCTCCAAGTTTGAAAACAAAACAAAATTGCGCCTATGTGCACAACCCTTACGTGTGTGTTAAAAATATTTACCTTTATCAAGATATTGCTTCCACTATAGTAGGATTTCCAAATAGCTTGATAATATCTTACTGTTGCCAGTAGAACTGATTGTAATGGGCATATTTACTATAACCATCAAAATTGCCTTCAATATTATTTTTTATATCTCTAAGAATTAGCAGAATATTTTTCGCCCAGTAGCCTTTTTATCAGTTGCAGAATTCTTTAGCAATAATAACGTCTTCTTCAGATTTTAAAGCTGACTGAATCCTTTAGCATCAAGTTTTACACAAATCCTACAAATTATAGTATCTGCGTCAGTACTGTTTGTTATACTTATGCATAATTATTTTGTTCGTTCATATATACATACAATACCAAATAAATCTGTATTATATTGCATCTACAAATTGCGTTAGATAGATATACATATTGCATCTACAAAATCTATCTACAAAATCTACAAAATATAAATACATATTTCATCTACAAAGCGTCAGTATTATATAAAAATATATATATTTATTATGCATGTTTTAAGTACCGTTCAAGATAAATGAAGATGCTACTTCAATTTATAAGACATTAAATAACTAAGATTAACAAAAGTTTTTAATAATAGTAATTGCTTTGTATCCAAGTCAAAAAAAGTGTTGCTTTGTTTGCACGTTTAAAATGTTGAGTTGAAGTTAAAGTTTTTATACGCAAGATATAAAAAAAATTAGCTGGTTTTTATATTGTTTTTGGTATAATAAAGTTATTTATTGAGTATTTAGTTTGGTATTTATTGAGTATTTAGTTTGGTATTTATTGAGTATTTATTTTGGTATTTATATGGTTTAAAGGAAAAGAGTAAGTTTGGAAAATGCTTGGTAGAGTATCATTTTTAAACTTAAACACAAAAAGAAGTATGTTAAGAATATTTATTTCATAAACATTAAGCACGCCAATTTTTCTTAATAGTGGTAATATTTGTTTGCATTTAATATCAAGTGACTCGTTTGTGTAATTTGGAGATTGTATTTAACTTCGAAAGATAAATAAATGCCCAGATTATGTTGCAGTAACTGATGTAGCTATGAATAAATGCTAAATAAATTTAAACAACTTGTGTTCAGGAGATGTTTTGTTTTATACATAATATCAATTATTTTAGATATTTTATTTTCTATTACTTTGATATGAATAATACAGATAATATGTTTATTAAAAAATATACCCAAAAACTTGATTGAGTATTCTCGTTTAAGTTTAGTTTTATCAACTAGTAGATCAGGTAGTTTTAAGGGTAGGGTTTCTGGTTTTTATAATTTTGTAAATTGAGTATAATTACTTTTTTCAACATTTAGGGAGAATTTTCAACATTTAGGGAAAAATATTGACATTTAAGGAGAATTTGTAATGTTTTTAGGATTTGAATTTGCTTTAAACCCTTTGTTCAGATTCTCAAGTTCTTGATTAACCGTGTTAAACAATAGGGTAATGTTTGTGTGGCTAAAGATAACTTGCGTATCATCAGCAAAAAGATCAAGGTTAAGTATGATAGAAGATGAGAGATATCGTTAATACAAACAAGAAATAACAATTGACCAAGAATTGATCCTTTTGGGACCCCACAAGTAATACTTTTAAGTCGTGTTACATTGTTGTTATATGATAAAGCTTGTTTCCGATTATTGAGGCGAGAGTGAAACCATTTTAAATTGTTCTTTCTTATTCCATAAGTATACAGTTTATAAAGAAGAATCTCTTGGTCAACTGTGTCATACGCTTTTAAAAAATCGAGAAATACCCCTAGAGTGTATTTATTGTTATCAAATCCATTTAAAATTTTGTTGACAAATTTGACTACAGCGTGTACTGTTAAATGGTGTTTTTGAAAACTATATTGGTTATTATTTAGAGGTGGTGATTTACTAGAATAGGATAGTTAGTATATATATATATATATATATATATATATATATATATATATATATATATATATATATATATATATATATATATATATATATATATATATATATATATATATATATATATATATATATATATATATATATAACTTGTATTTGCTAGCAAATACAATGTGCATTAAAATACAGAGTATCAAGATTAGTTGAAATAGAATGTTTTACATTCCTTTATTACGTTTTAGATTTGACGGTAACATAAAATACCCGGATAACATAATATAACCGGATATTATTATCTTTTTACTATTACAATTATTTTATAAAAAGTTTTTTATTATATACACTCTATGTTATAAAATTACATTTTTCAGGACTATTTTTTATTTATTTATTTTTTTTTCTTCCTTAAAATATCTTTAAAAAAGCAATCTGTTGTAAAATATAATATACAAGAATACAATTTTACACGATCGCTAAATAAAGTTGTGAAATATAAAAACGCAAGGACCAAAGTTGACAACGCAGGTTCGAAGCGAAGGGTCACAGTCGTCAATTTCTGAAAAAAAGTCCTCTTTATCTAGAAATTTCTAAATAAAAAAAAATTCCTTTTGAAAAAAGTGAGGAGTTGGAGGAGAGGGGGGAAGACCAGTTTTCCCTGCCTTCCACCCCCTCCCCCCGTTTCGTTGGCCCTGAGGACTCGTAGCAGAACGTAAAATCTTGTGTCGAGTAAACCTCTGAAAAGTTTACGTGTTAAAATTTCATATTAATAAAATATTCACAAAATAAATAAGTAATATTTTTAGGAATAATATTTATTGTACTACTTTGTATTTATTATAGCTAAAGATAACGAATAATTAGAATTAAAAACATAAACAATACTTTGAAAAAAAAATAACGTTTCCGTTTAAATATAAGATACTTTATAAGTTATAAATATAAATAATAGAATATAATTATTAATATAAGATTCCTTATACAGCTTTAATGTATATTTATAAAAAGCGTTAAATAACAATTTACATAATGTTAAATTTACAAGTATTTTATTAAGTGTTTCAAAAAAAAAAGTTAAAAAAGATTTAAAAGACGAATAATATAATGTATATATCATCAAAAAAAAAAGTATTTTTTTAAGTTTTATTTGAAAGAAAATTTTTTTTTAATTGCAAAGTCAAAATAATAAATAAATACTCGAAATGAAATACAATATATTTCAAAATTAGCTTGATATGTTGAGGAATTTCGTTATCATTTCGTTAATTGCATATAGCCTTTTTTTTATTCGGTACACAAATTATGAAAAAGTACAGTGAATAGATTGTTTTTACGTTTAAACATAAAGAAAATAACATTAAAAAATCAGGCTTATATTTATTTAAAACTTTCATTTCAAAACTCATAATTATTCAAAACTCATAAAACGTAACAGCAAATGATACACAAACGATTTTCTTGCATAATATAGAAAAATTTTAGAAAAATAAAATTCTTTGTTTTTCTAAACTTTAGTACACGTGGTATAATGTTTTGTTCTATTTTAAAGTAAATCATCCAGTTATCTTTTATAAAGTACAATTACACTAAGTGCAATTGCGACAGGGGTACTTTTAGTCATTTTTTTTTCTAAATAATTAACGTGTACTTAAGGAGATAATCTTGTAATAGAGTAAATACAGGTTTTCTTAACCACTACCACGGTAATATTATATTTGATTGTTTTTTTTTTTTTCTACTCGTTGTTTCTAACAACTTAAAGGCTAGTTTTTTCTAATTAGTTAGTAAATATTTTGAAAACTCTAAAAGTATTTCGTATATTTATTTAAAATAAGGTTCGCAAAGACAAATAAATAGTTCTTGAGTATCATACAAAAATCAATTTCAATAATTTAAATATTGTAGCTGAATTTTGAAACAAAAATGTTGATTAAAAAATAATAATTTTATTTTATTAAATTTATCAACTAATCTTTTTGTAAATAACTTTTTGATTAAGTTAAAAATTAAAATAACTAAAGTTTTGATTATGTTAAAAACTAAAATAACTAAAATACAACTATCCTGAGAAAAAAGATTTCTCACCTTTAATTATTTTTTGTCTGTGTCACCAATTTCAAAAGTAATTGTAATAAATTAAACGCTGTTAATAAAACCATATTATTTAAACTTTTTGCGTATTATCTTTTCATAAAACAATAGCCGCTAAAGTCTATAGTGACGTTTTATTCGTCTATCAAAACTCCTAGCAATCATGCCATTAAACATCTCAGCTTTAAGGATATATAAATTAATAAAGCGCAAAATGACCTAATTTGTATTTAGGTTCATACTAGACAGATTTCCTAACTTTTCCTACAACCGCAGATTTTCATTTAACACTTTAAGGAAAAGACTGCTCTTATGTCATGGCATCGAGTTAATAAGATGACAAACGTATTTTCCGCCTTGTCATTAGCACTCAAATATACTTTTTTTTTAAACTTCCGTTAATAATTATGTTTCTAATAATAATCTGTTCCGGTAAGAAAAAATCATATATCCCACCTAGCTAGTGTTATTCTACAAAATTGCTAGTTAAAAGTTACTATAAATTTTTCTGAATCAAAATTCTGTAAAAAATGAACAGAGAATTGATTAAAGGTGTCATTATATATATGGTAAGAAAAATGTACCAACTTTATACATTTTACAGCTGTTTAGTGTTATGTAACACTTTATATTTAAAATGAAAAATGTCAACTTAGCTATCAACTATAATATTTCCGCGGTTAGATTAGCGTAAAGATGGTTTCTTTTTTTATAGAACCTGATATTTTTGGGAAGCGCATCCAAACCGTTATTAACTATTGAAAAGATAGAAGAATCTATTAACAAAGAATGGATGACAGCTCAAAAGTCTAACTGGCAACAATCAAAACAAAGTAAGCCAATTCTTGTTAACAAAGGTATTTCTTACTCTTTAAACCAATGGACAAACTGTCGTGTCATTTATGCTCGCTGCAGAAATGGTTTGGATCTTGCTGTTGTAAATCGCAAAGTTGTTGGCATTAATTCTCCATACAGTATTAATGGCAAGTGTTGTTTTTATGATCCCTTAAATATTATTTGCTTATTTGTTGCATTAACAAACATATTTTGTATACAACTTTGCTAGTTATATAGCAAAATATGTTTTAAACACCATTTTATATACATCTGTTTTTTTTGTTTTTTTGTTTTGTTTTTTTAACCTCAAGGTCATAGAGTTCATTTCGGGCAGACCTCCACCATACAAGGTTTTGAGGGAACAATCAAATCTTTACCGATAGCATTCTCTTGAGTTCATTTATACAAATAACTTATAATTTAACGTTTTAATTTTTTTTTTTAAATTAGGGATATTCGAGATACAATCTTATGGTACAAGCGTGGTAATGCTAAAACACGCTGAAACCAACAAATACCTGGCAATGGATAAAAAAGGAAACATCCAGATAATGGTTAAGCATGTTTATACGAACGTTTGAATTATATGTCAAGTTTATATCATTTTGTATACTTATATTTATAAAGAGGCATCATCATTATTGCGTTTAATTATTTATTTATTTTTTATTTTTGTCATGTTTTGTATTTATTTTAGCCTTTATTTTTTATATTAACAAAAAAAATTTTATTAACAAAACTATCATTGTTATTTTACATATTTATTACACTGTTTCGTCTTTTACTTTTTCATTTTTACTTAAATTTTTATATTTTTATATATATTGTTGTAATTTGGTTATTTTAGGCAACAAAGTCTGACGAGACCTTGTTTTATCACTACCTAGAAGAGAATGGGTATATAACATTTGCCTCTGTAAAGTATTACATTAACGAGTACTATGATTTATTCTTAAGCTTGCGGAAAAACGGAAAAATTCGTAAAGCAAACCGAACAGCAGCCGGTCAGTCCGCTTCTCAATTTTTACTTATACCAACTAATACTAGTAGAAGTTGTGTTCGTAAATAGAATTTTTAATATAAAGTAATTTAATTATTTAAATAAATGAATAGCAAATAGAAAAAATATTTTAAGTGATAAAGTTAGCAGTAGATAACAAATATTTAAAAGAAACCCACTTATTTTATAACTGTTTTTAAAATATTAGGAGTTTAAATCTTTATATATTGTATTATATCGATATTTATTGTTATAAAATTATATCTATTATCACATCATACTTTTTACATATAATAGTATATATTTATGACATTTTATCTAATATTTATGTTTCTGTAAAAAATATTTTATTGTTGAAAGAAAAACTGTTTAAAAAAAAAACAAAAACGAAAGTTTCTTATGCGTAAATGTTGCGTCTTTTTTGAGCTGTCTGAAAAATTTAATAATTTTTGCATACCTAAGTTAAACTTCATTACGTAGTTTTATTGCTATGTTTTCCTTATTTACAAATGCAGCTTTTTGAAAAAAACCTGAAATTACCGCGCTTTTTTTAACAAAAATTTATTATTTAATTTTTTGTTCTAAAAAAGATTAATTTCTAGGAATGGATGGCACATGTTGCACCTAACCCCTAATACCGAATTTTTTTTTAAAGCAGTTTTTAAAATGAAAAGTAATTTTTTTTTTTCGGAGTTTTTTGATCAAAATTGTTTGATGTTTGCATTTAAAACTAAATTAGATTTGAGTCAGAAAAAATAAACCGTGTTTTACATTGAAACATGTTGCGACATTTTATAGAAATAACATATATGTATATATAATGTATGTATATATATATATATATATATATATATATATATATATATATATATATATATATATATATATATATATATATATTTTTATATATATATATATATATATATATATATATATATACATATATATATATATATGTATATATATATATATATATGAATATATATATACATATATATATATATATATATATATATATATATATATATATATATATATATATATATATATATATATATATATATTATATATATAAAGGTATATATATATATATATATATTTATATATATATATATATATGATATATATATATATATATATATATATATATATATATATATATATATATATATATATATATATATATTTAGTATAAAATACTAAGAATAGTAGTATTTTACACTAAAAAGGTATAAAATACTTAGTATTAATCTTATATATATATATATTAGTATTACTTATAAGAATATATATAAGTAATACAAAATATTTTATAAGTATAAAATACTTAGTATTATATATATTCTTAGTATTTTATACTTTTTAAAATCATTTATTTTATATTTCTTGTGGAAACGTTTGTACAATTTCATTTTTTACGGAAACGAGTAAAAGATTTTGCGGAAAATCACAGTTTGTGTTCTTCCTACCCTTTATGTATGTATGTACGCAGTGGCGTAGGTTTTTAAATCTTTGAAATAACTAACTTTTAAATAAAAAGAATACTCCAAATTTTTTTACGTTCATATGTATGATGAAAAGATTCTTCACAAAAAAATTACTGTGATTGGTGAATGGGAACAAGAAATTCTAAAATCTTACCCCCCCCTACTGCCCTTTAGCTGAGGGCAATCAGATGAATTATTTATTTTTTCATAAATATAAACTAATTATGAATTTATCATCAGATTTCAAATTTTATGTTTAAATTATTTAGTGTTTTTACGATCATGCAAAGTTTATGGCCGCCTCAAATTGAAGAGAAGGGGGTATTTTTTACATGGTCATAAAAGTAATTTTTGAGCAAAAACAGGTGGTTTTAGGTCTAGCATATGCTAAAATCTTCGCAAAGATATCTCAAAAAGTATTATGTATTAAGTTCTATTTTTTTGCAATCTTAAAATTCTTATATCTTTTTTATTTAACTTTCAATCTTTAACTTTTATTTGTTCATTTCATAACAATAACATTACTATTACAACTTTTACCGAGTTTTTTTGTTAACTCCCTTAAAGTTTTATTTAATTCATCTCATTATATTTATTAGTGTTATTTATACCTTTAACAAACTTTTGATTATGTATATCACCAATTTTATTTTTTTTTGTTTACTCGATATTTGTAATTTTTATTTCATACAGGCCCGTTCTAAGCTGGCCCGAGGCCCGGGGACGAACTAAGTTGCAAAGTTTCAAAATCTAAATTTCTTTTATACAATCACATTGTGAATATGATTGTATAGACTTTGATATTTATAATTGTATAGATATTTTGATAATTAGTGTATTTAAGGCGGCCTTTAAATAATTGGAGTCTGGAAATAAATTGTCTCGTTATCAGAGTGGCCCTTCTCTCATATTATTTTGCTTCATTATTATTTAAATGATATGATGTTAAAAATAGAAAGCAAATATAAATTAATTTATTAAAAATTTTTTTCAAAAAAATCATTATTCCTATATTTTTACTAAATCAACAACTTGGTTGATTTCAAAAATGTGTTTGTCGATTTTAGCCGACTTTAGAAAATATATCAGTCGATTTAGTCGACAGTCCTAACAACACTAGTTAAAAAAGTGCAGACTGCTGCTGTCGTGAAATTTTGTCCTTAAATGTGTTTTAATTTTTTTTAATGCGATGAAAGATCTTTTTGCAGTTGCCACGCTAACAGGTAATGTTAAATATAGCATAAGTGCTGCAATTATGTCAATGAGTAAGCTTATATCACAACATGTTATCGTGGACACGGGTAAAACGAAGAAATGCGGAAAATTTTAATGAATAACACTCGGGATTAAATTGCGGAAAATTTCTCCTAACCTTAACCCTATTGCTGCCCAAACCATTAGTCAATGTAGCACCACTTCTTTTTATGTTTCCATAAATTAATCAATGTATGTACTTCCGCACTTAACCCGTTAAAGGTTTCCGCATTTTATCATTTCCTTGTTATTGTTAACAATTTGAGAAAATCTATAATACTGCCCACATCTCTAATTTCCGAATTGAAAAATTTTTCCTTTAAGAAAAAGGCGTTTACTAAGTAGTAACTATTGTTTTACTAAAATAGCTTATTATGTAAAATAGCTTAATTATATAAAATAGCTTATTATGTAAAATAGCTTAATCATGTAAAATAGCTTAATTATGTAAAATAGCTTAATTATGTGCTTTGCGTTAAAACGTTACAAAATCACATTTGCCAATTAATAAAACAGTCACTTTATTACTTATGAGTTTATGTAATTTGTTTTAATTTTTTAGATATAAATAAAAAAAAGTTGCTCACTGTTCAGGACCGGCCCGTGGTCTGGCGCCCTAGGCAAAAGACCAAATTTGCCCCCCTCCCCTCCTCCAAAAATTTAGAAAATTGCTTTTTTTCTATGCAAAAATTTTTGATACAAAAATTTAACCAAAGGTTTGGAAAATGGATTTTTTTTAAACCTTTCAAGGTGACGAAAACTTGTGAAGTTTTGATGCACTAAGGTTAATCACATTTTTACTAAATAAGCACAAATGATTGGTTCATTAATCTGATTGCCAAATAATTTAATACCGTATATATTAGGAACCAAAGACAACTTAGACAAGAATGTTCATATTTGTCCAAAACAACATATATTAAAAGAAATTAACTTGGCGAACTTTTACAGATACAAATCTATGAGCAAGAATGCTAATGTCAATTTTGGCAGCCATTTCTTGTTCCACTAAAAGAATTGCCATGTCATTCAAACGATGTTGATGCATAGATGTGCATAAGTAATTTTTAACTAACTTCAATTTTGAGAAGTTGCGCTCTCCGGAAGAAACAGAGACAGGCACTGTTAGCATGATGCGTCGGGCAATAGTAAGATTAGGAAGCACAGCACACATTCTTATTTCACACAAAAACTCCAAGATTTGTCTTGGAGACTTGACCAATTCAGTCCTCTGAACAAGGCATTGGACTTCCTCATATAGCACCATTCCATCCACGTCTATTTTTTCACCATGAGCCAGTGCCTTCTCCAATTTCTTACATTTTTCTTTCAGGTCTTTGGAAGCGATTTTCAGGCACAAGTTAAGAAATCCAAAAATGTTGTTGTACTCCGTCCGTTGTCTAAAACGCTCTTCAACAGATTGGATGACACGGCATAGAAGAAGTTAATTTTAAAATTCTGTGAGGGATCGAGTATCGGTTCGTCCACTGACTTGCACCCAAACAGTCCCTATTTTTTTGTTTGGTGGACGAGAGTGAGATGTTTCTGGAAATCGAGAATCCAGATCCAGTTGCTCATCCTATTCATTTTCCTTGTGTATAACCTCCTGGAATCTACTGTCAAATCGGTACTTTCGGAGGAACTCTTTTGTCTTTTCAAGCTGTTTCTCCGCTTCATATATATACAGGGATGGCTAATGAAGCATTTTGCTTGTCATGTTGACATGGAAGAGAATTTTGTACCAAAATACCAAACCGGTTACAAACTTGAATGATATCACTTGACCTGCAATTATTTGTGCTTTGGCTCGCGTTTCGGTATCCGAGACTCCTTGAAGAATTTGATCATTGGCCAATTGCAATTAGACATAATAAATTTGACCAATTTGGTGGGGCAAAGGCCGCACAGCACTAACTCTGCTTTCCCATCAGGTAGCGTTTAATGGCTTCACAGTCAAGGTAGTGATATGGTAGTTTTTAAGGACATTCCACCGTTGCGTGGACGATGAGAAGAACTCATAGATTGCCTGGATAAAACCAAAAAACCGTACAGCTTTAGTGCAGCAATTTGCGCCATCATTAACTACTAAATTGATGGTGCGTGCGCAACAGGGAGTATAGAATGCACGACAATTTTTGTCTATAATTCGATGTTGTAATCCGTTGTGTTTCCTTTTCATGTTAGCACCATTGTCGTAGCAATTTCACGTTAACACCATTGTAGCCCTAACCTCTGAGGTTGTCGAATGGCAAATAGTTCTCCTACAACATTTTCAAAATGATATCATTTTAAATTCTGGTTAAATTCTGAATGGGAACAAATCACACAAAATGTTTACGGATCCTCACTAGTCCTGGTTGTGTACCATTACCATTAGAGTACGTAACAAAAACGATGATCATAGTCATTTGCTCGGTTTGACTCATATCTAGAGTACAGTCAAGGATGTTAGAGAAATATATTGTTTCGCTGGAATCTCTGAGAATACTTTCCTTGACTTCAGTGCACAGTGGGAACATTCCATTGAAATAGGTGGCCAAAAATATAATCGTTATATTTATGTGGATATTAAGCCTTAAATGAGTAAAATAAAAACTTAATATAATATTTTTAATTTTAATGTTTAACCAGCTATTAGGCGCAGCAAGGGGGGAGGGGCAGGGAATCCACTTAAGCACTGGGGCACCAGTTGAATTTTTTATATTTAATACTTTAGGACATTGTTTAAATAATGGATAATTTTTCAATGTATAAAGTGTTCATACTTGATTGAAATTATACTAAATTTATATTTAAATTCATCATCGCTATAAACTGCTAACAAACTTTTAACTTTTTCCGGTAGGCACAATATTTTCTTACTTTTAAATCTTTAGTTAATGAGATTGAACTAATTAGGAGATCAGAAGTATGTATATCTAGAATGAAAATGTCAAGTAAGTTTATTTCTCTACTTTTTTTTCTTGCAACAATGTTCACGATTAAATTTATAAAATCTCTGTCGAGATTCAACTGCTTCCTCTCCCATTAAATCAAGTGGAACTGGTAAATTAATAATAATTTCCCTAGCATGAGCTTATACTTTTTGAATGGAAGCTGGGAACTTGAACCAATCATTTATCTTTAATAACTTCTTATATGTATCATTGCAGTATTTATCAATTTTTTCCGGATCATTTGGATCTTTGCAATTAGAATGTTATGTAATCTGATAATTTCTTCATCCATTTCTAAAATTTTGCTGAGTAATAGAGGATCAGAAAAAGTTTATGTGCATAAATTTTTCGGTATTACACCACTAGCTTTTGGTTCAAAAGCTAGTGGTGTAATACCGGAAATTTAAAAAAAAAATGAGTAGCCTCCTCGACTGTAGTGGCCCCCTCGGGCCTTGGGGAGGTGAATAATTAAAAAAAAAAAAAAAAAATACCGGAAGTTTATGCACATAAATTTCCGGGTATTACACGTCTGATCCACCAGCTTTTGGTTTATCAACTCTCAAACCAAATTCTTCAAACATCCTATCATGTATAATTTTTTCTCTCAAAAAATATTGATTTTTTGAAAACCTTTTCTACTTTCCAAGTTTTTTCAAGTATATAAGAAAATTGAATAAATTCAAAAAACCTAATACAAGCATGAAGTGGTCAAATGCCATAGCACAATGCCTGCCTTTTTGTAACAAACCTTTTTTTAGATCGCTCATCATGTTAAGTGTGGCGTGACAAATCGGACAACATTGTGTCGAAGAAGTCTCCGCGTTGTAACTAAGATTTTTCCATCAGTTGAAAGGATAAAACTATAGTTGATAAAAACATACTTATGTCCTGAAAGGTAAACTTTATCAGGATATAAATAAAGAGTTTCTTTTTCAATTTCTTCCTTAATTTTTAATACCACTTCTTTATTCTCATTTACATACTCCAGTATAATTGGTCTACAGAATCTAATACCTTGAGACATTATGTTATTCCATAAAAGATTGTTTAAATCTGATTGTACATGTAATCGAAGAGGTGATGTTACTGTGACTAATAGATCCGAATCTTAAAGGTTATTTTGATTGGAATTATTAAAACGTTAATAGTATTTTTAGTGACTTGATGTTTCGTTCATACCCTGACAACTAATTAATATTAATTCATCAAAGTTTTTCTTTTTATCATTAAAACTTTAAAAAAAATTTTCTTCCATAGTATCACAAGAATTTTGGATGTATGATCCATAAGATCCAGTAGTTTAACTTTGGCTTTTATTTCAGTAACTTTAATGGATGTTTTAAGGCGTGAGCACTCGTTTTTTATTTCAAAAATTACTCGATAAGATGGAAACCTGCATGGTGCTTCTTTATGGGTATTTTCAGAAACACTTCCTGAAAGTTTGTTATGCAAGAAATTTACAAAAGCTTCTTCAGACGTTGTTTTCTCTCGCTATTGTAGTTGTTTTATATTCTCTGACTTGAATTCTAGTACTGTGTTTAAACCTACTATTTACATTTTCAAAAGTATTTACCGAAACCTGAAAACATTGCACAATTTGCATTAAATTGATTTCCTCCATTATCTTAGTTCACAACAATAAACTTACAAAGTAAAAAGAAACTTTTTAACATCACTTAGAAATTCATGAGGTTTTGGTCAATTAGTGGGACATTAAAAATGCACTTTAGAATTATTTTTTCCTAAATTAGTTATGCATTTTAAAACCATAAACTCATGAAGTTAAAAAACAAAAATTTTCCTTTGTAACACGAAAACAAATTTATTTTGGTCTTTCATGCTTTAAAGTACTTTGTATGTTTTTTACTTTATGTAATGAATGAAAAAAATTATTTTTATCGAAGTTTTTTATTTGTTTAAAAAAACATCAATTTTTCAAAATTATTTTGCGCTCAAGATTGCGGATAGTCGCAGCTACACTTCTCAGGGTAGTTAGTAAATACTATAGACTAAAAAATATCAAAATATGGAAAAGGTACAAATTGGAACAATTTTTTAATTCTTTATCAAATTTAAAATTTAGTACTTTTGTGATGAATTTTTTACTTTTAATGCTAAAAGTTTACTACCTACTTTTCAAGAAATTTTTTATTTTTTATTTTTAACAGTCTATACTATAATCTTTCCAATGATGTATATATTCTCAATTCTTCAATGATCTATATATTAAAAAATAATAATTACTAAAATCTAGCAATTTGAGAATTTTATCGAAAGTTCATTAAAAAAACTAACTTCAAGAAGCAACTACAATTGAGCCTGCCACATTTAGAATTTCATATATTGGAAAATTCTTAGTGAGGGTATTAGTAACAAAACCCACTATCAGACATAATGATTGAACCAAGTTACTTTTCTGATTTTTAGTCATCTAATTTCCCACTGTGCGGTGGCGAGAAAACCGAGAATTTCATTCTGGATATTTTTCTCGGCATAATGAAAATGAATTTTATTTTTTTGGATGCGCCTCACATGCTCCTTCACAACAAGATCGAACGTAGAA